AAAGCAGCATTTTCATAGCTTCCGGGACTGTCAACCAAGAAATTTACGTGAAAGAGTGTTTGAATAAACGTCTGCTGCCTTTCCTGAAGAAACACGGTTGTTCCGTACTGTTTTGGCCGGATTTGGCATCTTGCCATTACGGTAAAAAGGCCATGGAGTGGTACGCCGCCAACAACGTGCAGGTGGTTCCCAAGGACAAGAACCCTCCCAACACGCCAGAGCTCCGCCCAATTGAGAAATACTGGGCTATTGTCAAGCGGAACCTAAAGAAGACCAAAAAAACTGCTAAGGGCGAGCAGCAGTTCAAGGCAAACTGGCTTTCTGCGGCGAAGAAGGTGGACAAGGTGGCTGTACAAAATCTGATGGCAGGGGTCAAGCGTAAGGCCCGGCAATTCGGATTTGGAAAAGCTGAAGCCTAACTGAATATTTTTCCTGAATTTTATACTAATTGAACTTGAAAAAGAAATTTAATTTGATTTTTTAAATAAACGATTTCACCGATTTACACGCGTTTTCCCTTGACCAAATTTTGACCGTATCACCCTTTATCACGAACTAGAGCGGGCAGAACTTGATACTGTACAGTAGTGGCTTCTGTTCGCTCTGGTTCGTCATGCATAAGAGATACGGATTTGAGTTGTTAACAAAAGTTGTAGCTAATAACAAAGCCTACAAAAACTCTTCACATAATTTTGCGGAATTCTGTTGATGAAAAAAGTTAGAAGCAAATGATTTTCCATGCTTGCAATACACAGGGGGAACATAAATTCGAACGGGAAAAGTAACGGAAACGTGGATACAATCATATGTTGTAAGGGAGTTTAACTCGCATTCATGCTCACGGTACTTTTTGCCGGTATATACTGAAACTAAAAAACAAACTTAAAAGTTATTCTATACATAATTTGTTTAGTTAGCTATATCATACTTACAACACGAAATTGTTCCGCGCAAATAAATAGGTAACAAAATTATCTAGATTTCCACTGGTATGTAAACATGTAGATTGCAATGCCACCATATTGTGTAGCATTATGAGTGAGTCACTCATTTATTTTTTCATATGTGACAATCACATAGGGTTTACGTGAAATGCACATAGAATTTGTGTATGTGAAAATCACGCACGTTTCATTAAAAAATTTACCGACTTCGAAGGAAATTTCCGTTGATGCATATGTGGTATCACGTAGACTTTACTTGTGTCACGTAAAATTGACAGAAGCGGAAATAGAGTGACTCTATGTGATTTTTCACGTAACAATAACGTGTGAATTATTTTGAGTGTAGTACTACACTATGTTTGTTTTGATTTGCTATGAAAGCTTGACAGATAAATGGATTTTCCTATGTTTCGAGGGGTGAATCGATTAGCTTGGGACCGAAGATAGTACCAGAGCTGAGCCAAAAAGTTGAGCTCGTTTCTTCGGGACCTTCTGGTCTCGAGTTATCTCTATGCTAATTGCTATTATAGTATTCAACGCAAAAATCCATTCTAGCTTATCCCCAAGTCCCGCTTTCCATAGCGTAGCTTATCTCATTGGATGAGTTGTATATCGTCATTAGATGACAATCTATCTCAACAAAGACAATTTCCAAAGCGAAGTAGATAGCCCTAGGAATCCCATTTGCATTCGGTTTCTCCATTTTCTCCGTAATCACTTCGTATTAAACCGGATTTGCCATCATAAACAAAAGGACAGTCCCAACTTTGCCAGAGATTTAAGCTAGGGCACATCTTATTCTCTGGAAGCATAATGTTGTTGCTGTTTCTTTACTCCACTATGTTTACTCCCTGACTTTCCAGCGAGTGGTCCAACAGAGGACAAACTTTACACCCCATTATCATTCCCAATAGCCGGTGGCCAACTGGGGTTGGACTATGTAAATTCACAGACAGCTGCAATACAGCTTTTATCATACCAGCAAAGCAAGAGACCATCGGCAATTTTCGCTTCCAACATTTGGAATCCTCTGTGCTGCAGCAACAGCTCTACAGTTTCGATTGAAGCAATAGATATTTCTTTATTGGATTAGGTACCGTGCGGGACCGAAATCCGTACAGCACCGAAATCCGTACACCCTGTTGAATTTGTTTATTTTTATGCATCACAACAATGTAAATATTATACATGAATACATATTCATGTTCATTCATGCATTAGCTTGATGTTTACGTCAACAATTAAGCAGTATGTCATACAATTAAAATAAGAAAAATAAAAACCTTATCAAGTGTTGGACATTTCTGTCAATCGGTTGCGTTCTTAACTATTTCCTAAGAAAATCTCTCGGATTTACTTCCAGTTGTTAAGCGTATTTAAGTGATTTTTGCAAGTAGTTTCCTGAAGGTCGATCAGAAAGGTAAGTGTTTATCGTTTTATATCTCAATTCTAAGCAATGGATCATTCATATGGTATTTATTTATCAAAATTAGTACTGTACGGATTTCGATCCATATATAACAGCTGATTCTAAATCCGTACACTTGTGCATTAACAATGACGACTCCACTTTATCCAATGTTTTTCAGCAGATCATGGAAGCTAAATACACGCCGGAGGATTTGGAGAAGACTGTGGCAATGATGTGTGCGGGGAAATCTTACCGAGAAGCATCCAGGGATTTTGCCGTTCCATTCACCACCATAAGAGATGCCGTATTGAATCGCTACTCTCTTATTTTATTCGTATTGTAAATGTTATATTATTAATATCTTTTAATGAAGAGCGTCAAGAACCAGCCCAAAAGGAAAACAGCGCAGCTCCCCTACAGGAAACCACCAAGACGCATATACAAATTACAGAGAGCAGACAGAAATGGGCAAGGGAGCATTCCCAACAGTAGCCACCAGCGAGGAATGGCCGGAAATATACATGAAAGTGAACGGGAGAAAATTGATAAAGAGAACGCAAAGAAACAAAGGATTGAGGAACGACAAAAGAAAAAGGTTGAACGAGAGAGGAAGAGGAGGAAGAAGAGGAAGAAGAGGAAAGAAAGCTGGAAGCAAGAAAGCATTATAACTTGAAAAGGCAATGGCAACAATGGAGAAGAAGCCGAAGAAAGCTGCGGAAAAGAAGCAATGAAAGATCTGCATTTTTATGATTATTACTCTCTTGACGTTTTAAATTAAATTAAGTTTTAGTAGTTAACTAACGTTTATTTTATTTTTCATGCACAAAACGAAAAACTAATCTTTGATGTTAATTCATTGTCTTTTTTTGTTGGTTTCGAAGATGGTTGTAATTTTTTTTTTCACTTATCCGCCATTATAGGGCTACCATCTTAGGAACCGCTTATTCTATCGCTTGATGCCAGTGGGTTGGTGGAGCGTTTCCATTATCGGTGTATTAAAGATGTTTCGGCAGTCTTCTCTTCAGTTTGCTATTATTGATTCGACAACATTGCCCAAGCTACACCGCCAGTTTAGTCCCGGTTAATAATGTTTTGTAGCGTTGAGCTGGAGTGCCCCCAAGTTCCAAAGTATGACGCATCTTGCACGTTATCACATGTCAAAATTCAAAGACCTCGAAGTTGTGATCGGAGGTAATCTCTAGTAATAATATTTAACCCAAAGCACTGGTATAGAATAAAATTTGGAGGAAATGAATTCTTAAACATGATATTAGTTAGCATAAAAATCCAGAGCAGTCACCTTCTTAAATAAAAAGATATCATTTACCTTTCCTTTGAATCGATTGGAACATCAATTAATCTAACGCTGATATTACTAATTAAAAAAAATAAAAGTAAAAAAATGAACTTGAACCTTTGACGAATGATTCTTATGTAAAATCGTGCGCAGAATCCAAAAATATAAATATCAATTATTTTAACGCTAAATTAGAGGTAAGAAACTTTTCGTTCGATCAATTGAACATCAATTGTCAGTGAGATTAGTGGTATTGTTATTAGTTAATAGTTTGTTTTTTTTTAAGTTTTCCTTAGAAAAATTGAAATTCTGCTAATTTTTTAAGCAATGTAAATAAAAATGTTTATTGTGGTTCTACCATTACTCTCACGGAAAAATAGTTTTGTAATGATCGAAATCAAATTTTATCACTTTTAATTCGGCGTTAAAATAATTAATATTACTTCATTACAGTCGGAGGTATTTGTGGTTTTAGTAAACACGTTTTTTTTTTAAAGTGAGATTTCATTTTTAAGCTATATCTCGAAAACTGTCCTACTGAGATTTTTTTGGACTTCATTTTTGGATTCAGCGCACGATTTTACATGGGAAATGACCATCAGCGTACAAAGTTCAAACATGCTGTAAACTAGTGTATTTGAATATATATGTTTTGGACTCCTAGCCAAGCAACTTCTAAAACAAATACTTTATTCAAGACAGCAACATGTTTTTTTTTTCATTTATTTAGATCGATTTACATGCATGTACGGATTTTGATTCATGACTGTACGGATTTCGATTCATCCTCAACACAGTGTACGGATTTCGATTCAAAATTGTACGGATTTTGATTCAATCGTAGAACGCTGTACGGATTTTGATTCAAGAGATGTGCAATTTAAATACTTTTTTCTTATAATTAAAGGTAATTTTAAGACCTGGTGTTTGTAAATAATGGAAAAATAAAGATAAATGTATGGGGAAAAGATGTGATACAGAGCATAATGTGATAGCATTATTTAGTATTGACCGTTAATGATTCTCTCGTGCTTAGGTGTACGGATTTCGGTCCCGCACGGTATGTGAACCCAGTGCACTAGAAAAAAATATTAATTTTCAACTCCCCACGAATGACCGCACATGGTTCGGTTGGTGGAGCAAATAAAGGAAAGAACCCTAAACCTACGGCGTCGGTGATGTTTGTGTGGGAAAACCCACACAATTGAATGACCGTGACCAAGCGATTCGGTTATGATGGCAGCTATCTGCTTTAAAACGGTTTGGACAATGTGGAGAAAATGAAATTTTTAAAAGGGAGCACCTACAAGCTCAAGTAATCACATTTTGCTCCTCGTTCTTTTTACAGGGCACTGTTACGAAAGTGTAACAACGCGTTACATCCAGATCTGTATGGCCACTATCGGGAGGCCAAATTTACCCAAACCAAACACCACTGGTGGTGGAAAGCGAACCGGGTGTTCGATCAGCTAGAAGTTACCAAATACCACACGGGTAAGTACTCGATTGCTCCCTCTATATAATCACCAATCGATTCCACGTAAATGTTCACTCATCCACACAGGTCTAGTGGTCTTCCTAGAAGAAGACCACTACGTTGCGGAGGACTTCCTCTACATCCTGGAGCTGATGCAGCTAAAGTCAAACGAACTGTGCTCCAAGTGTAATATCCTCTCGCTAGGGACATATCTGAAAACGTTCAACTACTATACCTACAACAAGAAGGTGAGTGTCATGTCCCTTTCCCTGAATTGTGCACTGCTTTTCTTCCAAACACCGAATAAGTAATTATTTTGAAGAAAAGATAAATCCAACCGAACAATGGATTGGGTCCTAAGCAACAATGACAGCTTCTTTTCGTAGATTTTCTCTTTTGCGTCCCCCCTACGATTATGTACAGACATTTACAGCTATTTTCAACACACAGTTCGATGAAAGAAGCAATTATCGATGAACTGAATCGATCAATGTTACTTGTAGGACCTAATCCATTCTTCGCTTTGAAATGGTTATAAGTAAAAATACAAAAGTGGCTTCACAGGCTTTTCTGTTTCTTCCCTGCTCCGACCTGAGAGTGATCATATTTTGTTGCCCACCAATCCACCCTTGCCCTGCTGAGAGAGCTACTAGGTCCTATACATACACTAGAGACACATAGAGCGTGCTTTCCGATCACGTGTGTGATAAGAGATTCATCCTCGATCAGAGTCATTGCGAAGATTGGGGAGCCATTGCCGTTCAGTAGTAGCGCAGTTTTATTATTACTCATCCACATCAGTGCCATCTTTCAGGCATCATTGAACTGACACTTGTCGGGAGGCATTTTTTTTTTTTGAATGGTAGCGACTTATTTGAAGTGCAACATTTATCTATAAACCAGCGTTTCTTAATCAAAGGATCGCGATCCATCGGCGCACCGGTGGGTCGCAGGAATTCAGACAGCTTGAATATCAAATTATTTTTAAAATATCGAAATTCATTTGACATCATTTGATTTTAGGTAAATATTGTGTTAAGTCAATTTATCCATATAACGCCATTTTGTCATTTTAGAAAGTCTTGGTCATTTTGACTATGTTTGGGCCATTTTAGGGCCCTTTTGACCAAAGTCCTCACACGCCGCCTTCTTTTCGTAGCCAGCATAAAAACGTGATCACATATCAATCTAAGCGGGCCCAGAGCAAATATATCTGACTCGGCTATTTAAGGCTCTGAACCATTTGGCGAAATTTTTTTAACTTTTGGTTAAAATTTGACAGATCGATTGTTATTTCCCCTCAAATGGTTAAATTTTTCTTTCAATGCATCCCATTTGGAATTTTGACAGATGGGTAGTTATTTTGATTTGACAGCTGTTGAATTGATCAAAATTCAGGAAAAAAATAAAACATAAGACAAATCTACGGAAAAATTGAAAACATCATGCCGTCCGTTGAAATATTTATAGTATTTGCTTTGATTTTTGTGATATTTAATTATTTTTTCAAGCCAGATGATAATACAGCGATGCCCTTTGATGCCCGCTCAAAGAATCGCAAGGATAAATATTTCGACTGAAAATTGCATGTTGTTAATATACACACTTGGATTATTTTACCGAAATCTGTGAAATTTTACCGAAATCTCAACAGCTGAACGTTCGGTAAACAGTTCGGCAATTTTTCACAGATTTCCTGTAATTTTTCACCGAATATCTGTGATTACAGGAAATTTGTGAAAAATCACTGAACTGTTTACCGAACGTTCAGCTGTTGAGATTTCGGTAAAATTTCACAGATTTCGGTAAAATAATCTAAGTGTGTATGTATATATTTTTAAGGGAATGAGGTACGCTGTGAAATGTCCAGTATCTAGAGTTATGACAGAGATATTGAACCTAAATCCGAATATTATAAAGGAGCACCTAAAAGTATCAGCTGCCGTCTTCCAGACAATTTGTAGCTTGGTTCCCGAAAAACGATCTGAATGGGAAATTGAAATAGATGTTGCTATCTTTCTTTTCTTGTTAGCAACAGGAACAAACCGGCGGGTGGTATGCCCTCTTCTCGCCAACCGAGGGTCGCCCACACAAACTAACAACATCATCGGAAAGGGGAAACCTTACCCTATCCGGCGATGTTGATGGTTTGCGTTGGTGTCATATGGGTGGCGAGAAAAGGGCATAAGAATGCTTGTTTACAAAAAGCTTGTTGTTCTTGATATAGTTTACAAAAAGCACATGTTGTTCTTGATATAGGATATATATGAAGCGATGCATTTAGCAACATGAAGAACTGCAGTTTAGAATTAAATGTACATATATACACACCAACTAAAACAAACATCACGGATACTAAAGCTACCGGGGGTCAAAGATTATTCAAATTTCTGGCCTTTGAACAAATGTTGAGAGCTTGTTATACATTGAACCAACGAGAAAGGTAATTTTTACCTGAAAATTCAGGTAACCTTTCCAAGATAGGACTTCAATGACATGGCACTGGATTCACTGGTCCAGTCCACATATCATGCTGGTGAAGGCTAAGTGAAATTCACTTAAGTTTTTCGTGATTTCATAACACGAAAATTTTCTCGTCGTATTCGTAATTCAAAAATGGCAAAGGAAGAAAGTGCGCATTCGTCGTTGTTGGACGAGTTGGAATTCCCAGGCTTCTTCATGTTTTCAAGCGTAAGGTTTATAATGTTTATAAATGAACACTCATTTATAAATTAAAAATAAAATTGCAGAAAATGAGTGAATTTCAATTTTTCTAGAATGCAATCATTTAATGACTCAAATAAATCGAAATATATATATCTATAGTCTGTCACCAATTCACTTTAGCATTACTACAAAATCCAGTAACATCTACTTGCTAATTCCCGTAGCTTTTGAGTAGCAATTTGAAGATTATCGGAAAGTCCGATAAAATTTTCGTGAAAATCAATTGATTTCTATGTGAATTACTCAAATGTAATCTCTCCCCCAAAAAACCTGATATTCACCTGAAAAGCATGCTTGGCATCCACAGTTTTCGTCACGAACTGCTCATTTGCTAATAACTTGTTAACTAATGTACGTAAGAAAAAGTAGATTTTAATTCTAGTAATAAACTGTATTTGTTTTTGCGTTGTAAAAATCAAGTGAGAAATGCTCGCTGCACATCGCGGACTTTATGTGTAAAAATTCTTTGCTGTTGATTCAAATGTTAAGATTTACCTACTCTTTGCATATCTATTGTAAGCTATGATCCTTATCTATCAATTACTTTAAAGAAAATCAATTTTCAATAACTGAATGAAAATATATTAACAAATGAGCAGTTGGTGTGTACAACTGTGCATGCCAAGCATGCTGAAAAGTATGATGGAAAATATAAACGTGCCTATTCATTTGAATTTTACGTAAATTTTAGTTGCAGTGTAGGCTTGGATAACTTTCAAGATCTCCTTGTAAAACAGCCAGAATATTGGGTCTAGAGCTTTTTTAGAAATCTCTGAAAATTTATGATAGGTCTATGACAATTTCAAGATAAAAATAAATAAAATATTAGATTTCGTGAACAGTAAACGTTTCCATATGTTCGCAACTCTTCTTGTCAGACTATTTACTCTGAATTTTTAAAGTCAAATTATTTACTCGCAACGTTGGTCTAAAAAGTGACTTTAGTGACTAAATTTTAAGGAATAGTGACTTTAGTGACTTTTTGATGAAAAAAGTGACTTTTTAGTGACTGACTTGAAAATAGTAACCAAATCACTTAAAAGTGACCTGCTACCAGCCCTGCCAGTACAAATGAAGCTTTTTTATTTTCGCTCCAAATCAAACAGAACAACAAAGGACTGTTTAAAATGCGGGTCCGTCTGAGATTAGATACTGTAGTTCATTTGCTCAATACATATCGGAATCTGATGAACTGGAGATGTCAAAAGGTACAGAAATGTTCTGTGAATGAGCGATCGATTTTAAGAGCATAAGGCACTGTTTGCTTTCTTTCCGCTTCCGTTTGGATTCTTTTCGAAAGTACTCAAACATTTCCTGCTGTGAGTACCGCTTCTTCCTCTTTTCCTCCGATTGAATCCTCTTTTCCGGATCTTCCATGTCAGGGCTTATGCGATGACGTTCGCCTGAAGGACCAGCCACAGGTGAAACAGATGAATTTCTCGTAGAAGCTCTACGTTGGGCAACATCGTGAGAAAATAGAAACGATGGGTCCGGATCGTATACGATGTAGTCGCTCACGTTGAGATCATCAGGATCACCACTTTCATCTTGAACTGGATCTGGTATGTTCTGTGCATTTTTAATCACGTCACCGTTGCTGTTCACTACAAGTGGAGGATAACACGTATGCTGTGTTGACATGAATTCATGCATTTTCTCGAAGTGTACCTCTGCTCTCCGTTCTCGGTGGCACCTCCGGTCGGAGGAGCGATAAGTTGCTGGAATATAAAGGGTTATTACAGGTTTGTTCTACGAACTGAAGCATTACATTTACCTTGTACTTTTTTGCCAAATTATTCCACTTCGCCTTGATCTGGTCGATGGAAAAGCTTTGTAGTCCTGATGCTTCTTGGATGGTTCTGAAAATCATTAAATATTGGTAAAATATTTTGACAGAGCACGAATAAAATAGTTCTTACCGCCAGGCCTCCTTTTTGTCAAAAAACTTGTTGGTAAACATTCCGTTGTGTTGAATCCAGCTGTTTACCAAATCGGAAACCTCGGTCACACTCACTGGAAAAAAATGTTCGTCATATTAATGTACTTTACACGATTCATACTTTTTTCGCCTTTTGCTTGCCCTCTATTTCAAACCACTAAATTTCACCCTCGATTTCACCACCAACAACAAAAAAACACTTGATACGGGATGCGCTCTTTCACTTCTACCGTGCCCCAATGAAGCTTACTGTCAAATCACTGAGATATGAAAATAACTATCGAACCATGCTCCAGAGTAGAGTGTTATTTTCAACCGGAAGGGAAATAACTATCGATCTGTCAAATTTTAAGCAAAAAATAAAAAATAAATCGCCTATATGGTTCAGAGCACAGAACAGAAGGAGAAGTGCAAACAAATCGGTGAATCAAAAAGTGTTCGTTTTTCTGCTCAACAAGCGATGTGTTGTGGCAGCGTTCCACACGGGCTTTCTATGTGCACTCACACTATCATAGCATGCTGCCTATCTTAACTGCAGGCAGAAGATGCCTCCTACCGCTAGGTGCGCTAGTGTTCGCAAAT